AACACAAGAAAACAAACAGATATTAACAATTGATACCAACATTCACAGTAAATACATAAATACATCAATTATGGGTGTAAGTCTATATGTGTATATCAGCAATTACAAATATAAATTCATCTGTTATTATTTCTTTTTCCCACTGCAAAAAACAGTTCATCATTATCATCATAGTGCAAGCCCAGGTGCACCAAGAGAGTCTCCAAGAACACACACAATGGAGTAGTAGCAATAATAATAATTATAGGATAAACACAGAGAGCAAAAGCAAACACAAAACACATTAACATTAAGAAACAAAAAAAGAAGAAAAGAAATCCTAACAGGTGGAAGATTAGTTAGACTGTAGGGATACATGCAAAAAGAAAAGAAAGCAAAGGATGACCTGAGTCACACCACACCACCACTACAATCAGTACACAAGAACATTGGCCAGTGTAACCACAATCAGTAGTGGCACACTCATCCACACAGAACTGACGCTGGCTGCATTCTTCCCTTCACTCTTCGCTGCCGCAGCTCCACCATTTTCACCAGAAGCTGTACTGGCAGCTTCACTCTGAGCTTCGTCATTATCAGCAGCAAGCTGGGCATTAAGGGAAGCTTCAATCTCAGCAGCCCTTGCCACAATCTTAGCATTCCTTTCCTCATCAGTAATGGCGTCAGTCGCCACACAGACAATTGCCACACTTAGCAGCAAAACCAGAAGATAAAAGAAATGGCGCGACAACATCATGTCAGGAGTTAGCCTTCTTGTTCTTGGGGTATAATGAACTATCCAAAGAACCACAGAAGAAGAGAAATTCATAGTAAAAACAAACCGTCAATAAAGATACTCACAAAGAAAGTGAAGAGAACACACCACAAAAAAAGAGATTTCACACAAAAAGAACAATACACCAGCAGACCAAGCCCACGTAAAAAAACAAAACCAAGAACAGGACCATTATCAGTCCTTAATGAGACTATTCATCCTCTCAAATCTGAAGAATGTAACATGAGATACAAATCCCAATCAGGATAATTCCAGCAATACCCAACGTAAACACAAAACGCAGGCAAACATAGAAATCATTCCAGTTAATTACAGTTACCATGAAAACTCCAAAATACCACAGAGAGAAAGAGAGAGAGAGAGAGAATAAGAGGTCCAATATCCTCATTATCGCTCTACACTTCTCTTGAAAGCAAAACCCCCTCAATGTTCACCATTAGAGAATATCATCACAAGAGTTCAACCACAGTATATGCAAAGATACTCTGGAGCATATTCTTACTTGCCCCACCCTCT